GAGAAAGATGAGAGGAAGATAGTAATGGGGAGTGAAGAGTATTCCCAATATATCTTCTACATTATGATGAGTAAGAAGCATTATGATGAGCATACATGTACATGTATATTGAACTGTGCTTGCCCTCTCTACAGTGCATGCAGAGGCACAGGTGTTGACACGTTGGGTGAGATATATGGGAGTTGTGTTGCATACAGTGTAGATGTATAGTCAGACATCCGTCATGTAGGCCCACATGCTCTCTTACATGTTGGTGAAAATGGAATACACTTGACATTATTACATAAATTTAGATCTACGTCTAGACATTGAGATACTTTAGCTCCATTGAGATTAATATTTGAAAATGATAATGTAATTATAATTGCTCATCTATAGACGAAAATAAGAAAGTTATCTCCCATACCCTGTGGGAGAACTGTCCATTTACTGTAGCTGTTTGTTGGACTGATGGTAGTGGTGGTGAAGAGATGGTGTGATGATGATGATGATGACGATGATGATGATGATGATGACGATGACGATGACGAGGACAACGACGATGATGATGATGATGATGATGACGATGATGATGATGCTGATGCTGATGATGATGATGCTGATGCTGATGCTGATGCTGATGCTGATGCTGATGATGATGATGCTGATGATGATGATGATGCTGACGATGATGATGATGATGATGATGATGCTGACGATGATGATGGTGATGGTGATGATGATGATGATGATGATGACGATGATGATGATGGGTAGGATAATGGAGATCTTCATTAAGATGATTGCTATGAATAACATATATTTGTCACCATGTTTCTGTCAAAACAAATTACATGTACATGAAGCATTTAAAACTTAATTAATACACCCTTGAAGAAAAGGTTTTATTCTCCCACAAAAAAAGAACAAGTAAAAAGAAAGGAATTACTCTTTCAATATAACTTAGGAAACAAATCAAGACGTCCTTGCATGTTCATCTACTCTTGTACTTTATTCTTTATTTCAAAATTTCAAAGCTTGACCATTTAATGAATACAATCATCTACATCATTGCTTTCGGAGGTAGCATTGGCATGTTTACTTTGTACCATGATTCATTTCTGTGCTATCATCTCCATACCGGTTGCTATGAGATGCTCACTGGAGTATTCGTTGAGATGGAATTATAATTGTTGGTTGAGGGGGGTATCATATCACAGTACAAGGGTGTGATGGTATGGCAGCTGGAATAGCACTCCATTGATCCATCTCTCTGGTTACTATCTAAACTATCTATGCCTCTTCAACTCATAATTTTAAAGGTGCTACTTAAAATTTCATAAGACGCCATGTAGCCATATATCTCTTGTTACTAGTAAATAAACTATATGTATCTATGCCTCAACTTAAAGTTTTAAAGGTGCCATTTAGAATTCCATATGTAGAATCTGAACTACATATACTTAGTTTCAAAGATGCTCTTTAACATGGGAAATTAGTATAAAAATAAAAGTTGTTGAATTGTAGAGAGATGTACATTTACATGTGCATGAACTTGTACCAAGTGTGCCTAAAAAACTTTAACGATTTAAAAAATATAAATATAAATGATCATTCAATGTTTTAAAGACTGATTATATTTTCCTCATTTTTCTAAATGCATTATCAAAAATGCTTTGGAGAAAAGGCATGATTATCCTGTTTGCTTACCAATATCATTTTTTGAGAAATATGTTATGATACTTACATGTACATGTACATGCATTTGTCATAATATTCTTGTATACATGTGCATGATGCAGTATCTTTAAGTTTCATCATCTTTAAGTAGTTGTGAACTTTTCTTTTTCATGTTTCGATAACAAGTTTTTGTTGGGGTCCAGTTTCTTATGAAGGGTCAAGTTTCTTGTGATGGCTAAAGTTCTGCATATTTTTTGATCATTTTGGTTGTCTACCTAGAGTTGATATCACCTTTCAGATCGTGTTTCTGAAGTTAAGGTCAAACATTGAAATATTTATCAGAGAATAAAGAAGAGAAATAAATAGAGTGAGATGCAAACTTGCCAGACTGCGGGGTCAAGGGAGATGTGTATTATTGAGAAAGAAACTTGACCAGTGCACTGTAGTGTTGACTCTTCAAGTCCACTTTTCTCTTTAGCATCCACTCTAAGCTAGAGTGTAAATATCAGTCTCTTTCACATCTCAATATAAAGCCTGTAAGTAAACCTAGTCACACTGTCAAACTCATTCCAAACTTACCAATATACACTGTATATGTATACAATGGAAAACAACAGAAACTTGCCCACTTGTGAAAAGGCTTTTTTTGTTGTTTCACTCTGGTGTGTGTCTCATCAAAGACTGAGACATTACTCTGGAGATCAACTTCTTCACTCTCCACTCAAATAGAAACATATAAAACTAAACTATTGCAAATCCTCAATAGAAAAAAATGGAAGACATTTAATACATCTTTGTAGCATTATTGTTACATAATCAATGAGAGGGAGGGAGAGAGAGAAGGGGGAGATAGAGTGAACGGGAGAGAGAGAGAAGAGGAGAGAGAGAGAGAAGAGAGAGAGAGAAGAGAGAGAGAGAGAGAAGAGGAGAGAGAGAAGAGAGAGAGAGAAGATAAAGAAGAGAGAGAGAGAGAGAGAGAGAGATGGTAAATCCTAACATAGACGTCTATGATCCTAATGACAAACATGGTAAAGCAGCTCAATGAGCTCACTAGATGATACAGTGTTTGGATTCTTCTTCTCAAGATTGACTTGAGTAAACATGGATGATGCAAGGAGAAGACAGAAATAGAACCATGCCACATGTTCTTTTATTACACTGCAGTGACGTTAGACTTTATCTGCAGAAAAGGGGAAATTAACAAAATTATTTGGATTTAACCAATTTGTCAGAGTTACAGTACATGTAGGTCCATGGTTACAGTAAATCCATCACCTGTGAGCAGTTTAATATACCTTCTGTTCGTGCGAGTTCTTTTTTAATTTGGTCAAGAAGTTACCTGATTTGGTGTTGTATATAAGTCACACACAGTGATGCTCTTTTCCCTAGAGCTCCTTTCCAATTGACCAGAGCTCTTTAGGAGTTTTCTAGAGCTAAATAGCTCACTGCTCCCATGTATTTTGTTTGCTACCTGTAATTGTACTTAGGCCCTTGTATGATGGTTTACTTATCTTAGGGATGAGATTTTATTGATTTTTTATTTTTTTTTATGCTTTTAAAGTGTATATAGTGGATATTAAAGTATCACCTGGTTTCATAACAAAGCACCCTAAATACCAGTTGTAACAAAATGCATAGAAGTGTGTTTTTATATTTGTCACTTTTGCCTACAAAATTTGCATTAACTTGTGCAGGGAGTGTAAAAACCACATAATGAGAATTTCTGCATTTTAAGTATGAAACCCATATGTGCCGGTCCACCAATGTGTGCTTGCCATGTCTAAAAGTGCGTGAAATAGTCTTTCTTTCATCATTCGCCCCATCAATAGATCTCCTTTCCCCTTCAATAGACCCCCATTCCCCTCCCACCGTTCCTCTTTTTTCATTTCTTTTTTGTCTGGTCAATTTGAGGTCCCTTTTCATACTTTCTTTTGTCCCAACCTGATTGATTTTCTAGTTGATGCAGCTAGAAACCACATTTGATATCTTTTGTATTCTGGAGAGAGGAAAACTGCTGCTATTCAGAATGTGCAGCAGTAATTTTGATTGAAAGTGAGCTTTTGTTCACGTCATTACATCAACATGAACAAATTGGACTGTTGTAGAATTGCTTGTAAACATGTGTGTAAACATGTGTGTATTGCTATTGAATTGAAAATTACATCATGTGGTGGGTTGGAGGTGGTGGGGGGGGGGGGGGGGGCTTCTTTCTACTCTTTTATCCCTATTTTCCTCTTTTGTTGTTAATTACCATTGTTAATATTTTGTCTATTTCATTATTCTGCTTATCTAATCCATCCTTGCTTAATTAGAATTAATTACATGTACATGTACATGTATTGTACCTTTGATAGTGCTGTGAGACCACGACATGGTTTTAACTTAGAAAGATGAAAACAGTACTTACCAGACAATTTAAGGAATTAATCACCTTTGTGTTTAGCAAGGAAAAAGGATATTGAATAATTAAAAACAAATGTTATCAAGTCGTATTTTGCAGTATACCCTCTTCAACTTTGTCCTTTATTATCTATTACATAATCTTTTCCTTTTTGTTGCTGAAACATACACTAGCTTTTATTGTGAGTGCTCCCATAAAGCTGTAAAGAGGATTAATGATTACTCCTGTTAATCACCTAGTAAACCCTCCAGCACCAGTTGAAGGGAGGATTGTTTGTTGAAGGGGGTGTGAAAGTAATTTCCGCTAACCCTCAATGGTTGGTTGGTCAGTCTATCGTCTGGACAATGATAGACCCTGTGCTTTTACTTGTGGTCAGGAAACTGGCCACTTGAAAGAATTGTATAGCTCTCAAATTTTAAAGCCACACCTGCAAGTATTATTTAGTTAAAGGCTATAGCAATATAATACAAATAGTTAAAACTTTCGTCAAGGCTGGACAGAACAAGGTCCACAACTCTTGATACCCATAATTAAAAATCAGGTGGCTCATGAATGCATACAGCCCCCGAAGATTTCAGATTTAAAACGATTGTTTGGTGCCCTACATGTTACTGCCCTTGTGACATGGTAGTCACAAAAAACAGCAATTTTTCACCATAACTTCAGAAAGACCAGAACATATTACATGTAGGTGCACAGATGCAGAGGGATATGTGGAATTTCATAGATATAATATGTTCACATCTTTTTCCAATTGGAATATATGAAAAGTGTGTGAGAAATTATGGGATGTATGGTTGAATGAGATTCTCCAGATATCTTTGAATTTCAGGTTGATGTATTAAACTCCTTGATAGTGCATTGCCATCAAATGTGATTTTGATTTTTATCATATTACTTGAATCATTTCTAATTATTCTTACTTTCTCTTCTATCTTTCTCAGATGAACGAGGAGATATTCAAAAGAAAACCTTCAGCAAGTGGGTTAATGCACAACTAGTCCAGGTAAGGATCCATTTATCAATGTCAATTATTTCTTGTTTCATGGAAAGAATGGGTTGCCATGGTAATTGTTGACTTGTCCAGATATAAGGTCCCCAGCATGCGAGTATACCCAAGGTTTAACTCACATTTCATTTGTTTTGAGCCAGAAGAACCTCACTCTGTGTAAGGTTATATGTTAAAGGTAATACAAAGTTTTGGTATGGGGTCATGAATTTTGTTCAAATGAACATATTGGAAGCATATGCGTTCCTACAATATTCAATGATCGTTGTCGCGGGTGAAATGGAATCTAAAGTGATGAAGTTGTAAATGATTAACTATTTTTATTGTATAGCTCCCTCTCAAGGTCAAGATATTAATTTAACTATAAAACAATGTTTCTTGACTATAATCGACTGATTGGCTATTCCCGTTTGGAAATTATATATCACAACTACATATTCATGAGATTTTCATGGTCATAGCTACCATTGTATGGCTGTAGGCGCTATTTCAAATTTATTAAAATTTACCTGGAGCACCGGTAAATTTTGATATTTAATTTTTCTCAAAAGCAGAAGTGTTTTAGGAGCTAAATTTTGTACTGCTTATAATACGTCCACATGGGCATCCAAATATATCCAAATTGTAAAGAATTACTATCCAGCAAATTTTCAAAATTTACCAAAACTTTGTATTTTACCTTTAATACCCTTATGGCTAGTGCTAGTGTTGATCACCATCAGTTGATACGTGTACACATTTGTAAAGAGCAAACCAAGAACATTCATTTTTTCTTCCCTCAATCATTCATTATAGAAATGTATTTCTTCATAGGCCCAGTCATTCATTTCTTTATTCACCCATTCATTCATTCTTTCATTCATTCTTTCATTCATTCTTTCTTTCATTCTTTCATTCATTCATTCATTCTTTCATTCATTTATTCATTCTTTCATTCATTCATTCATTCATTCATTCATTCATTCATTCATTCTTTCATTCATTCATTCATTCATTCATTCATTCATTCATTCTTTCATTCATTCATTCATTCTTTCATTCATTCATTCTTTCATTCATTCATTCATTCATTCATTCATTCATTCTTTCATTCATTCATTCATTCATTCATTCATTCTTTCATTCATTCATTCTTTCATTCATTCATTCATTCATTCTTTCATTCATTCTTTCTTTCATTCATTCATTCATTCATTAATTCTTTCATTCATTCATTCTTTCATTCATTCATTCATTCATTCATCCATCCATCCATCCATCCATCCATCCGTCCATCTGTCCATCCATCCATCCATCCATTCATTCATTCTTTCTTTCATTCATTCTTTCAGTCATTCTTTCATTTATTCATTCTTTCATTCATTCATTCTTTCATTCATTCATTCATTCATTCTTTCATTCATTCTTTCAGTAATTCTTTCATTCATTCTGTCATTCATTCATTCATTCATTCATTCATTCATCCTTTTATTCATTCTTTCATTCATTCATCCTTTTATTCATTCTTTCATTCATTCATCCTTTTATTCATTCTTTCATTCATTCATCCTTTTATTCATTCTTTCATTCATTCATCCTTTTATTCATTCTTTCATTCATACATCCTTTTATTCATTCTTTCATTCATTCTTTCATTCATTCATTCTTTCATTCATTCATCCTTTCATTCATTCTTTCATTCATTCATTCATTCATTCATTCTTTCATTTATTCATCCTTTTATTCATTCTTTCATTCATTCTTTCATTCATAATATATTTCTATATTTATTGAATAAACTTTGCAATGTAACACCAATGTAACATTAGACCATGGGCCAAGCCTCAAAATTCTTCAGTTCCGTTGTCCCCACCTGGGAAGTACTTTATTTTGTCCCAAATGATCAATGGACATATATCGAAGAACAAATGGTGAATGTTCACATCCCCAAATTTGAGCATTTGTTCACTATTTTGAAGTAAAGTTGCAAAAATCACTGTACCCGACATGTAGTACCGGTATGTAGCAGACAGCCATGTAGAAACTGGTTTTCATAGAGATCTTCCACACAGGGCATTTTATCGTTCACATATAATGTTTTGGAAGACCTCGGTTGTGAGATCAGTTGGTTGAAAAAGAAGGTTACAGTCTTTGTGGAGGATACCATACAAATCTTGAATGGAATTCTTTCCCATCTCATTTAATGACTTTCAAGAGATCTACAATGCTCATCCTTGCTTAACGATGGAGGGTAACTAATGCATTTCTACCATTATAAGGGCATCACTACACCTGTTCACACTGGAAGGAATAATGATTAATGATTAATACTTAATGTGAATGTTACTATAAAACCTAATCAGATTTGCTTGTGTGAATGGCTTCAAGCACAGCAGAGGTTCAGACATTTCTCCTTTGTACTATAAGAACTGTATCTTGAAAATCAGGATCTAACATTTGCTCTGGGATTCATGTCATCAAATGTATAGGGTCAGGCTTAGGGTTGCAAGCGTTGGGTCCAGGGTTTAATTTAGGAAATCGGTTAAAGGTCATGCAAAGTTGTGGGAAATTTTTTAAATTGGATGGATAGTAATTCTTTAACATTTTGATATATTTAGATGCCCATGTATTATAAGCACTAGAAAATTTAGCCCCCCCCCCCTAAAACACTTCTGCTTTCAAGAAAATTGAATACTGGTAATCAAAATTTACTGGTGCTCCTGGTAAATTTCAAATATTTCAACTAGCGTCAAAGGCCATTCCATGGTAGCTGTGACCATGAAAATCTCAGAATATGCAGTTCTGATATATAATTCTAAACAGGAATAGCAAATTGGTCGATTGTAGTCAAGAAACATTGTTTTAAAGCTATAGTAATATCAGTCTTGAGAGGGCGCTATACAACATAAAGAGTTTATTATTTACAATTGCATCATTTTAGACTCGATTTCAACCGTGACAAGGATCGTTGAATATTGTAAGATCGCATATGCTTCCAATAAGTTCATTTGAACCAAATTCATGACCCCATCCCAAAACTTTGTATTACCTTTAATGTAGGAAATTACCACAGAACAATTGTCACAGGACCATAATTATATCATACAACCGTACAATATGTTGCAGTTGTAATCTAGATGTACAAGAACTGTATTCCTGAGTACGACTTTGTGCATGTGACCAGGTAGAACAATATTTGATTACCATGTGTACCGATATGTATGTTTTGTCCTTGATGCTTTGATTATATATGTATATATTTTTTATATTAGAGCATTTTTATCTTTCTTGTGTGAATGGTCTGTATTGATCCCGAATTCACCGTTATTATAAAGATTTATATATGACGACCAATGATAGAGTCTTTTCTAGTGTTACAGAATGGAGGTCAAAAAACTGTTTTGTTGATGCTTTTTTGTTGTTGGTTTTTAAGCAAGAGTTTAAAGATAAAGTTGAGTTCTTGTCATGCGATTGCATTGTGAAAGAAACGGTGTGGAATCGATCAGAAAAGGTTGATCATCTGGCATATAAGTATGTGTGTGTATTGCAAGGTTCTAGAATCATCAAAATGATAAAAAACTTGGCCAAGTCTTGGTGAAGGTACAAACACTGTGCACAGAAGGATGTACCGTAAATCTTCGTGTATAAGGCGCACCTGTGTATAAGGCGCACACCTATTTTTTTGGGGAAAAAAAAAAAAAAAAAAATTGTTTTGTTGTTGTTTTGTTGCCGATAACCAACGCGAGGAAGGGCCTTCATTTTACATCAAGGTGCAGTTGAAGTTGTGAACTTGTCACAAATAATAGTTACAATGTCGTTGTAGAAGAATGTGTAAGATCATTAATGTAAATTAAAAACAGGTCCAGACTCTAAGGCTTCATGATACCAAGTGTTCCACACCAGCCTCATCACATCACCTACATGTAGCAGAAGCACTGTGTTCTATGCCAAAATCATGTCATGCATGATATGAATAGCATCCTATAAATTTCTGACAATGGAGTACCTAGGATAGAACCTTGTGGTACACCATTTGTTATAGAAAAAAAAATTGAGGAATTATTATTATAAACTACATATTGAGATCTATTAGAAAGATTACTTTCAAACCAAGATGACAGACAAATTTGAGTGTTGTTGTAGTTTCCGAGTGGTGAGTCAACACACTGATTACTGAGCTGGGAGACATTGCCAGGCATAGCGCCATAAATATTTAAAAAAAAAAAAAAAAAAAAAAAAAATTCTGTACCTGTGTATAAGACGCACCCCGACTTTCAAATTTTTTCGGCGGCAAAAAAGTGCGCCTTATACACGGAGATTTACGGTATATGGGACTACACGAACACGTGGCGTAAAAATCTGTCCCGATTTTTACGATGTTACATGCCATATTTAGAATATGAAGGCATGTGAAGAGTCATACTTTTCAGGGAGCATGTTTTATCTGATGTTCTTCCACACTTGCATAATAAGAATGATAACGCTCACAAATTAATTTTCACCTCTTCCCAGAACTCAACCTTCTCTTTAAAATACAGATTATCTACAAATTCTTGTATTGAAACTGCTTTTCTAGAAAAACATCTTGAGTTGTTGGTTTTATGAAGATAAAAATAATTAATACATTCACACATTGTGGACAAGTGGATACATGAAATCTTTTGTATCGTGTGCTAGTCTGAAAGGGCTTGGTTCCTGATTTTTGCTCAGATAATTTATACTTTTAAATCCAATATGTTTTTAAATATATCACCTTATGATGGTATTTGTAGATTTTTTGGGATCCTGTCACTCATAAATAAAAACTTAAAGTTTTGAGCAGAGTTATTGTTACAAATACTTGAAATATAGTGAAAGGTAAACAATTTGTTTTTTCTATTTGAATGTGCCATAAGCCATTGCTTTAAACCTGCCATGAATGACAATACTCTTACAGACAGATTCCTTTTTTTTTAGATGTATATGTCTTTTTTTCCTTCTGACAACCATGCTGTCATTTGAGATTGATTTCAAAATGT